CCGACCTGCTAATGGACACGAAGAAGACATCAAGAAAATATTACATGTATCACAATATTACATGTATCGCATCGGTTACGTCTTTCATCGTGAAGAAAGGAAAAATTAAATGACATGTCTAGAGATTTGTGACAATAAAATCCAATCATAACCAAAGTAACATTTAAAATTTTATTGACTTCTTGAGTACATAGTAATGAATGTAAATAAGCAGTCTGACAGTAAGCATTGTTTTTAAAATGTATAATACGACTAATATATCAGTAAAGTATATTTTTAATTAAAATGAGTTTTAACCAACCGTCAGTGCAGTGATGTCTTAACTAAGTCCCCTGATAACAGTCATCTAAAAAAATAATTATCGCATAGAATAGATTAAATCAATAATTTAAAATAATTTTTGAATTCCCAACTCATAAGAGCTTAACTTTTCTCCAAAAGGCCAATATTAAGTTCTTTTTCGTCCAAAACTATTATCAAACGCTACTAGCAACGTAAATCGATTCGACACCAGTACTGAATGAGTTTCTCAGCTTGTTGGAATATGATATCTAAGACTTCAGTGACGTACCTGATTGCGTCACGTGGTTCCTGTGTCTGAGGGATGATGCATTAAATGGAAATATTGTTTCAATACCACGCAAATTCTGATCCCGAAAAGAGTCCTGGTCGGTCATAAGCTATTTCTTAGCGACATGATCTTCAACTATTGCGCCGAAGAAGATCCATGTTGGGGAGCAAGAAATGAAGGCGTGCAAAACTCAATAAATATCGTGTGAACTATTTTATTTCATGATGCTTTTAATTTTCATGATAGAATCTCAGCATTAGTAATGATGTAATCCGAAGAAGAAGAAAAGGAAAAAAGGGAAAGGCCTGACCTGGGACTCGAACCCACGACAACAAATTCGAAAAAGGTTGGGACGATTCCCCCGAGACATTCTGTGAAGCTGAGGCGGCGAATCGATTTACATTCCGGTTAGAGATTTCGGCTCTTCCATGCTATCCCGATAATTGGTCCTAACTTCGCGCTAACTAAAAAAGCCAGTGAGGGAGAAGCTATCCGGCCCCTAGACACTGATGGATAACCCCTTGCACTAACTAGGCAACTATCGAAAGTATAATGTCAAATTGGGGTAGTCTATTCGGTGAAAGTGTCAAGTGGTCTATTATTATGTAAATGAGCGTGGT